TGAATAAATATAGTAAATGACCTAGTTGATTCACTGAGATCTTCTCTTCATCAAATAGATGAAACACAAAATGGAAAGTATTTATTCATTCGACTTAAGCGAGAAATGAACATCGAATAAACCTGCGTACGAATAAACTTCAAAATTTAATTGATGACCTAGATATTATCACTTCATTTGTGTTTTATCCTCCTTGAAATAATCTACTCCAGCGTAATAGGATCTTCTAAGACTAAGATCCAAAATATTCATTATTGAATATTTATTCTAGCAACATATCACTATTCTATTTAGTCATGAACAAATATTTATAAGCACGTGGTCTTATTTATCTAAATAAAGTGTTGTTCAGTTATACTATTGAATTCAAGTAGTCCATAGAAAACCGGAAGTTGATCATATGTAAATAGGTATACTGATGGCGCACGGGCGAGAGAGAAAGATGAAGTTAAGAAAGGTTGGATAGATAACAATACTACTGTAATGTAAATAAATAAAAGCCTGTTTATATTGTTATATGAATATTACAGTGATATACTACATTATATCTCATAAAATTTGATGTCTAGTATACCATATCTTTAAATAATATATTTTAGCTTAATTAAAACAAAGTCATTTAAACTTTAAATTTAATGTTGGTAATCAATTATCAATTATATTTCAATACAAGTGATACTATGAATAAAACTTTTGTTTGAATGAATGATTTTTTTTACAATTATTACATAAAAATATTTAACATGATAGTTGGGTTTAATTAATATGTTCGAATTGTCTGATTTGAAACTATGGTGAACTTTATGATTCTTGTTGTTATGCATTCATATCATTCTTAGATGAACTTTTTGAAACAATCCGGTTAGTTTATCACCAAATTTATCCAAATTTCTAAGATAAGTAGTTAGTACTTACTTACTTACACCTGTTATCCCTCATGAAGGAGCATAGGAAACCCACCAGTATTCTCTATCCAACTCTATCCTGGACAATCTTTTTTAGTTGTTTCCAGTTGCTATTCATCCTTTTCATGTCTATTTCCTATTCCCGATACAGTGTATTCTTTGGTCATTCCCTTCAGGATTCCAAGTTAGGGCTTGCTTCGTGATGCAGTTTGGGGATTTCCTCAATGTATGTCCTATCCTTTCACAGCATCCTTTCCTAATTTCCCCATCAGCCGGAAGTTGGTTTGTTCTTTTCCACAGTATGCTGTTACTGATGTCATTCAGTCAGCAGATATTGAGTATCTTGAGTAGACGATTGTTTATAAATACTTTTACTTTTTGATGATGGTTATGGTAGTTCTTCAAGTTTCAGCTCCGTACAGTAGAAATACCTTGGCATTCGTGTTGAAGATTGTGACTTTGATATTGGTTGTCAGTTGTTTTGAGTTTCATAAATTCTTCAACTGTAGGAATGCCACCCTTGAAAACAGTTAAAAATCTTGTTATCATTATTCTAAATGAAGTTTCTTTCAACCTCTAATTCTGTTATTTTCATCAGTTCGATCAGTGATTACGTAATTTCAAGAAGTAGAAATATAATTAAATTGTTGATCAGTAAATCTTACTTTAGAGCTGTAACAATCTCTTTTGGAGTACTTTCAAAATAAGTATATAACCATTGGAATACATGATTAACCACTCGAAGAGTAGTAAAGAGAATGAAATAAATCTTACAGATTCCTCTTTAAATTATGATAATTGAGATAGTTGTTTCATAACATCTAATCCTGTTTCTTTGTTTAGTAATTCAATTTTAAGTGTGTTGAAGACAATCCAAAAGATAATATGAATTTCATTGAATACTAGACACCGTAATTGCATTAATTTACTGATGATAAACCAATATATGTATTCATCTCCAGTGATTGTTAAGAAGTTCGCATGAACAAATGAAATGAAGACATGGAGGTCAAATGAGCTGTATGTTTTAAGAAGAAGGTTAATTATTTCCTAACTAAGGCTGATGAATTTTGTTTCAAAGTCTAATGTACGTTACCTTTCTCTTTTTCATTCATGAGATTTTTTCATGTACACAAGCTGCTTAGAATACTTGTATTAACTCATATCATAAATGAATTATGCCTACTCATGGCTAGATATATGAATTTGAAAAATACCATTGATTAGTTAATTTGATCCTGAATAATAGAACGGAAAATTTCAATCGGGCTCTTACCAATGATGCTCATAGACCTAAATGATATATCTAAAAATACATATTTCCCGGTAAGATTCTTAGTAAGTACACTACGTGTATCTTATCGGTCATCAGTTGGTTTGAAGTAACCACTATACGGAAAAAAATTTCAGCATGTTTAAAATTAAAGATAAGAACTTGATAATTGCTAAGTATTGAGTTATGTTCAAGATTTGTGAACTAGATATTGACTGAATAACCGCCATTTAGTTCAATTAAAATAGGTACTATTTATCTAGTTTACTCAAATATGATCATACCTTTACTTCTTATTCACATGACAACTTAGTAGTATAATATTTAGGGATCCAAACAAACGAATATCATTGTACCAATAATTCAGTCTATTAAAACAGGTTACCCTGATATTATGCGAATTGAACAACGAATATACTATGTAAAAATATCAGTCAAGTTTTTTTGTTGCTATAGTGATCTTTCTTGTATAATTATTGGCTAGAACTTAGATCATTTTATTATTCTTATCACTAATAGTACACTTGTCTTTTTATTATCGATTTGTACTTTTTACCGATTATTTGTGTTTGTCATCTATTTCAGTATCATCATTAACTCATAGATTGCCTTGATTGGCTGAATATTTTTATATACCTTTACAAATATTCATACATATTCGTGTAAATAATAATGACAATCTAATCGCTTATGTGTTCTTCCAAACCATTAATTGTCATCTACGGTATTTTTTCCTGGCTAGATGGTAATATCTGTCACTAATTCAATCATCAACATGAGTTTGAAGCTCTAAAAGTGTCATCATTCATCCTTAGGCATGAAGTCAAACCTTGCTAATGGGAAGAAGACAAACAAGAAATCTAGGAACAAAACTTTAGTTTCTCAAAACGTTACTCGATAATTTCAGCATAGATACTCTTATGTTCTACAGAATTTTATACATAATCAATAGAATGATTTGGTGAATGGTTCAGATAGAGAAAACATAATCTATTTGTTAAAAGTTCATTTTGTAAACTCATAAGTATACGTATATTTATTCTTTCTTATGTCTACCTAGACTGAATACTTTTAGAAGCCACTCACCTTTATTGTGAATACTAATACTTATACAAACATTGTTACTTGAACGAATAAAAGGGCAGAGTACGTTCATTCTACCAACATTGTTTTTATTCACCAACCATATGTTTCATGTTATTGTTATAGTTACTATTATTATTAGTAGTTTCATTTAATGTTATTGTATTTTTTTTTCAATCACCAGACTACTTACATTGATCAAACCTCTGATTCATTGTACTAAATTAAAGAGACCATATCCTTTCCTCAATTCTCACGAACATATGCACAATCGAACTATGTATTGCACTTAATTTTTTTGTTAAATACTATTGAAGTATCATCTGTCTTTTGTTTTTTTTAAATAATTTTACTAACAATACTGACACTAAGATGACACATTGAACGCTTTCACATGTACATGTAAGTATTATAGTCTTGATTTAGGATAATAGAGACGGAGAGGATCTAGTTTGGAACAAGTACCTATGATTTTGAAATGTATTTTTGTGATATAGCCCAACTTCATATAGTACATTTTTGCCTAGATAAACACTAATGATATGACTCATATATGGGGTAAGTGGTAATGTGGGTAGAATAATTGTATTTCTCGTCATAATGACAACTGAAAATGTTTATATACATGGTTAAGAGATGGGTGCGAAAACAAAGTATCCTGATCCCCCATTTTTCTGAATATATATATATATATATATATATATATATATATATATATATAATGTTTATAGATGGCTATCCATATGTTAACAAATAACATCTTACATTGTGAATAAGTTTATCTTGTCACAAAAAATATACTACAATTTAGAAGACAAGTAAACTGATTCGTAAGGTGACAGTATTTACTGACAACTTAACCTTAGGTTTTAATACATTTAAGTTAAAATAATGGAGTAGTTTTGTTTAAATAACTAGATATATCGTATTATCAATCTACTAATGGAAAATGGATAACATTTTGTATTTTAAGAAGTTAACTCGTTCAAGTGTACACAAGTACATCATCTTTATAGATAGATACACAGAGATAAGATGTCATACTGTTTGGTTCGCGACTTGTGTAAGAACGTTGATGATGTTGTGAACAAAGTCGCATAGTACCATAATGGTTACAAGCGATTATCAGGGTTTGTCCATTGTTTATTAAATGTAGGGTTACTTCAGTTTGGAATGGAGTTTTCCAATTAATAGAATTCATTTTTTTATATTCTGACCAATTAATAATTATTCTATCATCGATATCGAATTGATATGACCATTGAGTGTTTCATTTAGTTGTACCTTATTAATGACAAACTTGTGTTTAAGAGTAGACAATTTCCCTCTCGGAGAGTACAACCGACAGGGTAAACATTGTTATTATTTTTTGGGGTACTTTTTGATTACACATGGGTGAGTGAAACTGAAAGTCGTTGAGTACCTCTTGCCAGTTCCTTGCTCACCATTAGTCCATATATTTAATTATTTACTTACAAGTCTTAAATATGATCAAACGTGCTTCTTGAATTCCGCTGGTATCCATTGTCAGAATACATAACTGACACTAATAATAATAATAATAATAATAATAATAATAATAATAATAATAATAATAATAATAATAATAATAATAATAATAATAATCGAAAAACGGTTAGTTTTTATATGAGATCGTTTTCAACAATTTACAGAAGTGGAGAAAAGCTAAATATTCAGGTTACAACATGTTGCATCAGTAAAGGAGATAGAACTATTCTACTTGGAATTGAAATAAATCACTTGTATTATCTTTAAGGATCCCTATAAAGTGTATCATTGCTAATCAACAGAACTATTTATACAACCAATTTATCGACCACATATGTTTATTTTATTTAGTAAACTTAAAATCTAAATAAACGAGATAATTGACTGATTATAAAGCTACCTATTGATTTCCAACAATCGGATTAAATATGATTTACTTCAATACATACTATTGATAATTAATCACCAGCAGAAGGTCTATGATCAATCCTTGACCATTTTCATTTATTAAAATATCACTTAATGACCTAAACATATATTGATCTAATCTAAAATGGTATTTGTATTATACTTTGGACAAAAAGTTACTACTCCGAGTACATTACGTAATAATGTTGCTTAATTGATAGAGAAGACAAAACAGACTATGAATAATACTCATTATTTGTTCATATAAATAATATATACGCATAAATGATTGTATAAATGGTCTTATCATGATATCTATTCGATGAACAATGGAAAATCATTCTAAGAATTTGACTATTCAAAATAATGAAATCCAATGTTTAGTCTATTCGCATACATCAAAGCATAATTCACTACTTAAAGAAAAACATTTCAGTCAAGAAAATACTACAATAAATTTGAATAATACAAATTTAGATTTCAACTTTAAATTGACCCATACAAAATGTCATAATGATACAGTTTCAAATTTATATTTAGATAATATGAATCAATTATCTAACCAAATAATTAATCCACATTATCGTAAAACTGCTATCATTGACATTTGTAAATCTATTGATGATCATAAATTGGATATAGGATATTTAATTTATTCACGTCCAGGTATTATAGCTGCATTACTCCTAGAAATTGTACAACATTATCCAACTGATAAAAGTATATCACTTTCATCAGAATCATTTGAAGTAAGTGTGTGTGTGTGTGTGTGTAAAAATCAACTCATCTATCATTTAATCTTTTATCGTTAAATAAATAAGGTTTGTTAATCATCATTTATAATTACTTTTTCTCATTGAAATCATGTGATTCTGTGCATATAAAAATTTTATTTAAGTCCACTCGATATCTTATGTCTATTTATCAAGTGAGAAAACGAAGAACTCTCGAATATTCTTGATTTTAACTTGACTAACTACCAAGGAAATTGTTCAGAAGTTTATAGAGCAATATGCTAGTATGTTTGATGCAACAAACCCTATGGTACATATAACAGGGATTCAGTGAAAGTTTAACTTATTGAGTTGAATTAATTTAGTTACAAAAGACAGTTGTAAAAGAACTAAATACTATCTTTAATGCATTTAGTAGAAATAAATATTTAGAGGAACTGTGGTGTATGCTACTTATATTTGTCGGCATAAGTAGTATGTAACATCAATTGGAAGTGGAAACCCTGTCTTCAGAGGCCTAAGAAGATCTAACTGAAAAGGATGGGAATGAATTATACAGAATTTGAAGTATATATGATGGATATTTCCAAACGAAGTATGCAATGTATGGTTCTCATGTTTTACGATGAGATTCTTTAGTTTTGTGTTCGGATATAATCTGTTGTCCCTACCTATGTTCTCGTTCACAACAAATTTATAAATAACTAGATGAACAAGTCTAAGATAAAGCCAGAAATAATAATAACCAAGGCACTATTGTTTTTAAAATTGGAGTACAGAGGTGATGTCACCAATAGAATTGTGTCGGTATATTAGGAATTCTCAGCAGAAAATGTATACTACATTCAAATTGTTTACCCCACAATTAAATCTAATGTTTTTAGCAGCTGTAACTAAAGATAATATATGTTAATCCATCTTTTATATCAATCTAAATGTTCACCAACTCCGGTAGAGCTAGTTATATTGGGAACGCAAGTGGAAGAATTCGTTGTACAAGGCGGTTAGACAAAAATTGCGATCTGCAGATTTTACATTAATTTGAATACGATGTATTCAGTGGGCAAAATGGAGTATTTTTGAAATTGAATGTCTATGTGAGATATAAAAAAGCTCGTCATAAACATTACGAAAAACCAGACTTCCTCGATCAGCATTGTTTGAAAATTGGAACGCATATTTGTGTGTCATATTAGTTTCGATGTTGAACGAAAAACTTGTTAGACTTGAAAATCACTGAGACATTAGAACTAATGTTTTCATTCTTAAGTGCGCAGTCAAACAGTTTAATTGAACAGGGTAAATATGTGGACTATTATTTAATGGTCAGTATGGAGTTGTAGAGATTATCAAGTTTCTGATTGAGATCATGAACCGATTGATGTTAGACCACTTTTGAAAACCTGAAAGCACTGGATGGCCGTTTCGTCCGTGGATGAGCACTACTGAGGAGTCCCACAATATTACGTGATGGGCCATTGAACCTATATTTTAGTAAGGTTAAAGAATATAAAAATGACTTCCTGATATCATTCTTATCAAGATCTTTGACGTAAATTCATGAAATCTTTTTGATCTTAGAGAGTCAGAAAACCGAATAATAGTGTAAATTAAAAACTGACAGACGTCTTAATCGTTGTGTTTAGTATTATGTAAATGGATAAACGAAAAGTTCCCGGAGAAGATACATTTCTACCTCAGAAATTAAAGAAATGAATGGAAGTAAACTGAGAAAAGTGAATAATGATCAAGGGAAAGTTATCAAAACACCGATTAATAAACGATTCCCCACACATTGAGTTTCAGAATGAGTGAACATTTATATAGTGAAAAGTTGTAAATACTTGATAACGTTAGACATTGATTTTTGCAACATTTAAACATATAAATTGTCATATAACAGTGTAACTGACCATGTAGCAGTTAACAAATTTATTCTGTAATATTTCTGTACTTTCTATAATATTAAACTCATTTATTTGTTGACGAAAATCACAAAACAATGAAGGCGCTAGTTCTGAACCCACATACCCCAATACCCATATTGTTACTGTGGGATCGATAGCTTATCGGTTAGAGCAAACAACTTTAAACAATCAGGTATCTGGTTTAAAACTCACTTCACGTAATTCAGTCTAGATAGCTAAATTATATCTCCAGCTCTCAGACATATGCGTGTATCTTAAAACTGAGTACATGAATCAACATTTGGTAAATAAATTATATTATGTTTTAATTTACCTTTGATATTACAGTATTCAAACAAGTACAGAATTTAGATGGATGGTAAATAGTGTGTACTAACGCATTGAGTTTAAGTATAATAAATTCCACTTATCGCATGAACAAACTTAGTGAAGTTACAATTTTTCACTTATATATTTCTAGTATAGGAGTTGTGGAGATTATTAAGTTTTTGATTGAGATCATGAACCGATTGATGTTAGACCATCACAATTGAAAACCTGGAAGCACTGGACGGCCGTTTCGTCCTATTGTGGGACTCCTCAGCAGTGCGCATCCACGATCCCGCTCGCGGGATTCAAACCCAGGGCCTTCAGTTTCACGTGCGAACGCTTAAGCAACTGGACCACTGAGCCGGCACCCAATGGTGATAGTTTCTAACATCAACCAATCCACGAAATTGCGCGACCAACTTCCATTGTACTGAGGTAGATACCTGTCTCTACCGGACAAGGATTAGCTCCACTGGTCACAGCTTCTCACTAGAACTCTGAGAATTCCCTCACGAAGCTAGTCACTAGTGAGCACATGTTGATTACTAGTATAGGACTTGTGGAGATTATTAAGTTTTTGATTGAGATCATGAACCGATTGATGTTAGACCACCACAATTGAAAACCTGGATTGATGTTAGAAACTATCACCATTGGATGCCGGCTCAGTGGTCCAGTTGCTTAGGCGTTCGCAGGCGAAACCAAAGGCCCTGGGTTCGAATCCCGCGAGCGGGATCGTGGATGCGCACTGCTGAGGAGTCCCACAATAGGACGAAACGGCCGTCCAGTGCTTCCAGGTTTTCAATTGTGGTGGTCTAACATCAATCGGTTTATGATCTCAATCAAAAACTTATATATTTATTTGATTGTTTGTTTTCTTAATTTCTCTCCATTTCTGGTGGGGTTCTTTTTTTCTGTTTATTTTTCAGATTATATGTTCAATAATTGCAATATTTCAACAAATTATACTCAACAACAAATTTCGTTCTGAATTTATTAGCACAGGTCTTTTAACATATTTATTACCTTATTTTAACATTGAATGTCAAACTGATGATACTGAACATTTACGTATTAGTTTATTAAGTTTATATGCTACAGTAACAAGTAAATTATCAATCAATGAAATAGAAGATTTTCTTTTGCCAGAATCTAATACACATTTCAATGATGAAACAATAAGTGAAGAAAGATTAGAAATAACCGATAAACAAGTGAATTTTAATTCTATTCATAATACATATTATGTTTTAAATGATTTATTTAAACAAACATTGAAAGCATTAATTCAATGTCATACTGAAATTGGAAAAACTATAGCACTTATTTTATTAGCACGTTTATTGAATTGTCCAAATCAACGAACTCGTCTCTATCATAATCGTAGTTTATTTAATGAATTAATTTCATGTCTTACACAAATGATTCAATATATGGTACAAAAATTCACTATTGAAATACAACAACAATTTAAGCATAAAATTCATTTATGTGAACAATATGATAAAATAATATTTATAAAAGCTAAACGTTTATTACAATTTACATTAGAATGTTTTAATCAATTAATGATTGATTTGAAATTACGTAATCGTTTACGTTATAGTTTACCCATTGAATTACGTTCAAATTTATTTTCTGTTATATTATTACATGATCAAGATGTTCAATTATGGCTTGAAAAAATTTGGTTACAATTAGGATGGGACAAAATGAATTAAGAATGTGCATTACAAACTACTTTATAATATAATACTTTAATTTCATAGTTTAATGCATTTTGTTTAGTAAATACATATTTTTTTCTCAGTTGTATAATGGTCAGACTTTTGTTTAAATAAATAAGGATTACAATTAGTTATTAAGTATTTTAAATAAAATAAATCAACTTTTTATGAGGAAAAAATATTTGACCGATATTGCCATAAAAGTAGGAGGATTGTGTGATGTGTGCTAGTGATATAGACAGATATAAGTAGTATGTATCACCAATCAAAAGTGGAATGCTTGGAGGCAGAAAGTGGAGAAGATTGACGAGAACAGAATGAAAACAGAGAATGATTGATATGGAAACAAAGGAACAATCAAGTCTGAGACAATTGATAGATATTTTGTAAATAAATTATTTACTGTATGGTTCTCAAATTTTACTAAGAGATTCTGTAATTTTGTTTTCAGATACATTTAGCTGTCTCCACTGGTGTTCTCGTTTACTACAATGATAGCACCTATAACGTTTGATTTATTGATTCTGTGAGGTGGATAGTTCCTGATTGAATATAGGATTTTTCACACAATTTTCCCAGCGATAAACTTAACTTAGACGAGAACGAATGTGAATAGAAACATTTCGTGGTCAATTTTCATCTACTTACATACAGTTTAGAAGTAATGGTGTCAGTTATTCCAAAAAATAAACTATGTGCATACTTTAGATTAAAAATGTTCTCATCAATAAGGATTCATAAAATGGTAATAATAATAATATGGAAGTTCTAGTAGGGAATTTTAAAAGAGGATAGAGACAGATTAATCACAAAAATATTAAAAGTTACGTAATAACAGCAGAAAGGATTGATTATTAGATTAAAATGAGTGGAGCTCAAATAAAGTCCAAGAAAGAATGAGAAAAGTGAATTTCTCATTGTAGATACAAATTGTTGAGCAACTACACATTGGAAATTGAGGTCACCGGGGGGATGCCAAAGTGATAACAACATCGTTATGAATGTACAAATCCGATTTAAGGTATTTGATTTAGGCAAAACGTAGAGTTGGAGACCGTTTGTTTATCAATAACTTTGAATTGTTTTGAAATCTCAACTTTATATACAGTATTAGGTAAATGATAGGCAGTCACAATATTGAAGGCGTGTTGACCTCTTTGTCTCAGTTTCTAAGGAGTGTGCTTGGAGATGCGAATGTTACCTTTCCTTTCCTTCCACTACTTGTGCTTCGTCATGTACATGTAACTTGATATACACAATTCAGAATAACCTAACGGGAGTATCTGTCCATTTTTTTAACGAGGAATTCATTTGACCAATTAAAATATTTTTTAGGGCCTATCAAGTTCTTTTTAATGAAGTCCTTACCTTAGAATCAATCTTCTCAGATATTTCATCACCTTTGAAATCAAGTTGTCTTGACATAAGGTTTCTCTCAGCCGTATCATACTCTATTACCTTCATTCTTGTAGTTCAATTTTAACATTATCTTTAAATTTTTATGTGAAATTTAAATATTCTGTTACAGTATTTTGTTTCACGAATAAACCGTTTTTTTTAACGAAACGGTCTGAATCTTTCTTTTCATTTAAAGCACACTCAAATAGTGTTGTCTAACATTAGAGGTTCAATAATTTACTTAATTATGAGGAGTTGAGCTTAGAGAACTAGTGTTCAGTTATTCCCCGGTATATAACTGTTAGAATGATGAAGAAATATAATTACAGGTACCTTAGGAGTGCCAGTTGTATCTGATGGAGTCATCACATTGAAGTAAAGTAAATTCATTTGATTGTAAAATATTTGTATTATTACTAAGTGATCAGCAATTATCTGTTTGAACGAAAATCTTCATAGACATCAAGAGATGCACTACATAAACACGGAGGCTTCCTATACCGATTCAATGTGAATATCTTTCATTTGAAGTAATGGGATCATGAACCAACCACCTTTCTAAGTTTTTCAGGAAATTTCAACAGTAATTAATGAAGGTAACTACTGAGATGGAGTACGTTAGTAGAGGGAAAGGTAACAGTTTCTATATTTTGATAATGCTTATAAATCTATTAAATCGAAGCTCAAAATTGGTGAGGGTTCTAAATTTGATATAAATTAATGGTAAGAAGCATTAAGTGACCTCTTAAAACAGATGCTAACAACCAGGTTGTTTTTAATTTTTCATCTTTTAATCAACAGCTCTGTCTATAAGTTATTTTCTCATGGATTTTTTTCTGAATTAATGACTATGACCATCTTATTTTACACTGGTTAGCGTTTTTTCAGCGAGTTAGTTTTCTAAGGGATGGGGATGCTAACTCCATGCACAACCCTCCTCCTTTATCCAGGCTTGGGACCGGCAGTAGCCCCAGAGAGGCTCCAGGCGGAGTTAATTACTTTATACATAACCATTTGATTGGTTCTAATGTTAAATGAGAACATATTTGAAAGAGAACAATTTTATTGTATAAAGAGTAACGAAACAAGTTATTAACATGATATATTGATTCAATAATCAATGTTGTTGGACAGATGATATTACCTTATTTTGCACATACTATTTTAACAAAACTTTGCAGTGACTGAAAAAATTTTTCATCGTAAACTTATCTTTAACAGAACAAATATGAAACTACATCAAAAAATACACATACAAAATGCAATGGAAATGTTTGCTAATACCTTTGCTAGTATAAATGGTTGTAAGAAAGAAATTGATATTAAAGTTTTTCCGTTGAGGATAAAATGGTAGATAGATCGCTGTTGTATAACTTCATTTTAATATTTTGCGAAGCATCCGCTTACATTTCATGCATATTTTTTGCTGGGAATCTTAGATTTTGACTAAACACGTAGTATTGGATAAATGGGGTGTTATTACCACTGAAGTGTAACGAATTCAAAAACTTTCTTACTCCATCAAATTCTAGTCTAGATAATCAGAATGTCTTAGTTTCACGCTTGTGTTATTGCTAACTCTTGTCGACTGTTTTTGCTATTAAGTGTAAGTGAATTCTGTGCATTTGCCAGGTCGTAGAATCACTTTAACTCTTGTCCTCTTTTTTTCAGCTTTCCTCATGCACCCTCCCCTAATACCCAAAATATCTCCAGGCTAGATGTGAACTACTAAAGAAGATATATTTCTAATGTTAACGATCGATTGATTTATGTTAAAATGGTAAAAACCATGTTTATATTCATGATAAGTTGATTTTTTTAAAAATATTTCTAATTGTAATTACTCACCTTGAGGGTAACTAAAACACACACAAAAATACTGAGTACTAAAAGACAAATAAAAACTAAGGTAGGTAGGTTGTTACATTGTAAAAAAAAAAGTGAAAAAATATTTTGCGAGTGACAAATGCTTCTCTCCATTGTACATGAAAATTATTTTTCACTTAGGCATGAGTACATATGTTACTACTTTCTTATTCATCTATTTGAGTTTATACAAGTAACCATGTTCATACATGTTATTATTATTATTGTTACTTTAATATGAATAGAAACTGAACTGCATATGACCTCACAGTGTACACCTAAATGAAAATACGTGGTATACAGTGTGTTTTTCACAAATTGTTGTCATTTTATTATTGTTTAGCTTTGCTTCTAGTCATTTTTTCTCTCTGCTACCTTTTTTTTAAGAAAAAGAAATGATTATTATTACTTCAAAACTTATTTTATCATTTAAATTCACTTGCTACCACTTAGCTGAATTATTGTTAATGTCAAGAAGGAATAGTAATTCAACTGTTCATATCTATCTGTCTTGACAACGGGGTTTTTTCTAAAAAAAAAAAGCAATTTTTCACCAGATGACTTTGATGAACACAGATCAATAAAATTATTCAGTTGTGAACAACGAGAACAATTTCTCACGTTTAAACAAAAAGAAAAGAAAAGCTTCTATTGGTTTATTAACATTTTAAATGAGAATAAACATAATTGAATATGAATTGTGTTTTGATAAGAATTAGTCAATAGCTGATAGATGGTTGTTTCAAGAAAATAAGATGTGAATACTTTATAGAATTGAACATTTACTTATCTGTTTGTGTAATTCGAAGAAACAACATTGTAAAATGTAATGCTAACTAATGGAATTAAATACAAAATAAAATGTATTATACTTACTGATGGTTACGTTAATGTTAGTTTTAAAAAAGAATGTCAAATATCATATAAGCACGAATAACTCATCCATTTTTTGTGAAGATTTTTTACCTCTGGGACTGATGACTCATAGTTATCATAGAACCAGAGATTGATAGATGTCGATTTGATCCATACAAACTTTATTTTTGTTATTTCTAATAGTTGAGATTATGAGTAAATTGAAACTACACCACCATGGAAAACTTGAGATTACTGGTAGGCCGTTTCGTCCTACTGTGGGACTCCTCGGCAGTGCGCATCCACGATCCCACCTCGCGAGATTCGAACACAGGACCTACCGGTTTCGCTCGCGAACGCCTAACCTCTAGCCCACTGAGCCGGCCAGGACCCAATGGTGTTAATGTCTAACTTCAACTAATCCATGAAATTGAGCGACACATTCACCAATGCCTTCAGTGAGTTATTACCTCGCAACAGACCTGGTTGAACTCCATTGGTCACTGCTTCTCACTAGAGCTCCAGGAAATACCTCTTGAAGCCAGTCCACTAGTGAGCATATGTTGATTAGTATCAGAAAGGAGTTTATGGATATTATCGTAATTTTAATAGTTGAGATCATGAGTCAGATGAAGCTATTTATTGTTGAAGCTATTTTGTTGTCATCTTGACGTATAAAATTAGTTGTAAATAATTCTAGAGATGAGGAATTAACCATAAGCTTTAATTCTCATATTCTAACAAATATATTCGTTGTCTCATTTTAGATTTGTTCAGCTACTTATTATTTAAAACAAGTTAATGACTTGACCTCAGAATATTTAGAAATAAGTTAAGAAGCACCATGTTGTATGAAACATTATTTTGTGTGAAAACATATGAATGTGAACAATTAAGGATGAACTGTAAAAATTATTCTCAATTAAATTAGTATTCATTTCGGTGACGTAACAATTATGCAGTCGAGATCAG